AAGTAGAGGAATGATATAGATGCTAGCTGTCAAATGACAGCAAATTACACATCCTCTTTTTTTTATACTATCATTTATCAGAATCAGGTTTTGTTATATGTAAAGTGGTTTAGATCAATAGCTAGAAATCTGCTTGTGTTGTATTGATTTCCTGAGAAGATTATATATGAAGATGACAGTTATGGCTGACACAAACCAATTTCCAATTGCCTAATGGATTTAACACTTTTCAGTTCTGTGAGTACAATAGACTATTGAAAGTATTTTAAATACTTTTACTGTATGCTCAGTGACAATAAGAATACAATCTGGAGAGCTTAAACTAGAACCATTGGCACGAAAATATACTTTTTATCCTTTGAGCATAATTTAGTAAACAATTAGTAAGTCAATTATGTGTAGAAAGAAGACTTGTTACTTGGTATTATATTTTTTAATTTGTGGCTAAACGACAGATATAGAACAAAAGTCAGCAAAGAAATCAGTTCTATGGCAAACATGAGTGAAGTAATGGGAAAATGTGACAGAGCATAACTGAAGCTTCATTTATAAAGTATCTAAGCTCCATTCGTTCACCTCTATTTATTAAAAAACTGTATCTATTAACAGCTCACAGTAGTTGAATAAAATGCAGCATCTAAAATGGTTATTGGTATTTTTCTTCTAATTCTTGTCTTTTAATTGCCAAGTGTTTCTTTTTTTTCTTCCCACTTGGTATTACTTTATAAAAGGAATTATTTTAATTGAATCATCTGGAATATTTGATGTCACTGGGAGTGCTGGTGGAGGAAGCAATGACTGGATGTGAGGAGGCAATGTGCCATGCCCATGGCTGGACATGAGGAGGCAATGTGCTCTTGCAGGCCAGATTAGGTTTGGAATTATCTTTTTTTTTTCTTTTTTTTTTTTTTTTAATTTCAGGAAAAAAACAGTGTATATATACTTCACACATACTTGCTAACCACACTATATTTAAGACAATGAATGCTTAAACATTAACAAGTTCTCATTATTTGGTTTCTATTGGATTTAAATGAATAAGGTTTTAAGAGCTTGTCCACAAGCAATGAAAATGTGGGTAATTTTCATGAATGGCAATGTCTTAAAAACAGTCCTGAGGGGAAGGACTTGGAGCTATTTGTTGCTATACATTATTGTTAATTTTGCACCATAATTTTGTACAGCTCTTAATAATGACATAATTTAACTTCTGTCAAACTTCCCAACACTGTTGGTGAGGAAGCCAGCTATAGGAGGTACCCCACTGGACCTGCTCTTTGTGAACAGAGAAGGACTGGTGTGTGATGTGATGGCTGGAGGTCATCTTAGACATAGCAATCACAGAATGATAGTTTTCAATTCTTTGAGAAATAAGTAGCAGAGAAATAAGTACTAACTGCAGAACTGTTACCTTGGAATTCCAGAGCTCAGGTTTTTTACACATTTAGAAGACTAGCCCATACACCCCTTTGTGAAGCAGTCCAGAATGGCAAAGAAGTCCAGAAAAACTGGACAATCTTCGAGAAGGAAATCTTCAAGGCACAGGAGAAACCCCATGTGCTCAAAAGGCTAGGCATCACAGAAGAAGACTGGCCTGGTTAAACAGGGGACTTTGGCTCAAACTCAGGAAAAAAACAGGACAGTTTATTAGCTTTTTATGAAAGAGCAGCCAGCTCAGGAAGACTACAAGGTTTTCATGAGATTATGGAGGGTTATAATTAGAAGTGCCAAAGTCCAATGAGAACTTAATCAAGCTCCTGCTGTAAAAGATTAGATGTTAGGAAAAATTTCTTCTCTAAAAGGGAGCCTGGAACAGGCTGCCCAGAGAGGTGGTGGACTCACACTCTCTCAAGTCATTTAAAAGACCTGTGTATGTGACACTTAGGAGCATGATTTAGTGGTGTCCTTGGCAGTGCTGGGTTAATGGTTGGACTCAATGAGCTTAAAGGTTTTTTCCACTGTAAATGATCCAATGATTATATGATTCCTTAGATTTCCTAAAATGTCACAGTACGTGAAAATGCAATAAAATTTTTATTGAGGCTATGTATCATAAAAAAAAATTCTACCAATCAACAGTGCTATGGCAGTTGGCTATGTAAAAATGCAAGAATTATTTCTTAACAGAATTAAATTATATAGTGTTTCAAACTTTATAGGTATTTATGCATACATTCTGTGCGCTACTTTTTTCCTCACAGGAATTTCAGTATATGTACACTTTTTACTTAGCTTGTGTTGACACATCACACACTGAAGACTTCACTCATCTCCTCTTTGCAGTACAGCATTGTAGAACCATCCATGATATAAGATTGGGTACTAACACAAAACTATAACGGTTTTAATTAAACAAAGAACAATTACATCTGATTTTCTTCCAGTCCCTTCTAATGGAAGATTTTCATTTCACCACACCTAAGGGAACAGAATATATTTTTCTTTCATTGTGTCTGGCTTGGTGAACTCCTTTAGCCTTGATGGACTGGCATTTGTTATGTTCTAACAGCTTTCCAGAAGCATTTATTGCTACTACCAATCTACCCATAGGAAATTCCACTCTGGTGACAGGTTAAGATTGGCCTTGGAATCCATCTAGATGGCTTGACAGAACATTTCCTCAAAGGAACACATCACATGGAGAAAGACGATAAAGCAGAAGAGCAAGTTCAAATAAATTAATGTATTTATAGCTTCGTATAAAGATTGTTATCATCACTGGAGCTAAGATCAGTCTATCTGCCTAAAACATAGTCTCCAGAGTTTGCACCTTAATTTACTATGTCTCAACTACTACTCAGGACAGATCCTCCTTACCATGTACATGGAAAACTTCTAGCAAAGGCTTCTTCCTAAATCATGCCATAGCCATGGTGTTCAGTAACACACAGCAATCAAATGGAAGAATATCATGAAAGTAGATGAAGGATATGCACTGCAAAATTAGTGCTGGTGGATTCTATATCTTTGTAGTCATTAAGTATGTTTAAAATAATAAAACAATGTGTAGGCACACCATTGTCTGCCAGCTGTTCCTTGGAACATGTAGAAACCCACAGGATTCATCTCCATAAACACTAAACAAAAATATTTTGACTGATTATCTTACAAAATGTGGAACTGAGATAGCAGTTCTACATCTTTCAACCTTTTCAGGTGCATGAGAAGGACAATCAAAATCTGGCTGAAATAGTGATTTGTTCTGTCCTGTGCTATTGGAATATAAATATTTACTGTATTTTATTATTAATATAACAGTTTCTGTAACATCTCTAAATGCTGAATTTCTCTTGTTGTACTGCATGATTCTGGTGTGAAATTCGCTGCATAGAGTTAGTGCACTTAGAAGACTCCTCTCACCAAGATAACAGCAGTTTTACCATGTAGTCATCAAGTATTTCCATGCAAGAAAATAATTTAATTAATCTGTTTTTTTCAGACATCCTCTAACTTCACAAGATTAGTTCCTGTGATATAGTGGCTGAAAGTAGAATTAATAATTGTTACAAGGATGTCTGACACAGGATTTCTTCCTTTTTTTTTTTTTTTTTTAATTTCTCAATGCACTGTAGTATTGGACTACAGTAGTTATTTTAAAAAAAATCCTATCATACAATGCATTTTCATATGTTAAGTTCTAAAACATTTTTCAAAAATCTATTAGAAGAGACTTCTTAGAAATGAAGAGGTTTTTATACAGAATATTATATTATTTCATTTTGATGGAAAATATTTTTGTTTTGATTTACATCTGAGGAACAGAAAGGCTTTTGCATGTATAGCTTAATTTTTACTTATTAAGTTGAATAGCATGTAGAGCAATTTTTTTCAGTAGTTGATATGTCAGAGCAGCATCCTATAAGTAGCTGTAAAAGGACTGACATAATTTGTGTTAAGATTTAACTTTTGTCTTGGCTATTACTTTTACTATTATCAATGGTGTTAATCAAAAAACTTTGATGAGTTGAGCTACAAATTATTTAAAAAGGCATGAATAGATTTTTCATTTATTATCTGTGAGAATCCACTCCCTATCTGGCCTATTTATTTCTAACTGTAAACTAAATCACCACAGAATTGTATTGCAACAGCCCTAATATTTCTTTGCTCTAATTTCCAGTCTGTTTCTTCTACTACATCTATGCTCATTCTATTGTACTCTGTCAAGAAATATGCCTTTTTATTTTCTTTGGTACCATCATAAGTACACATTTTATTGCTATAACTATTCTATGAAATAACAGTTATAAATATAAGTTTTGACCTTCTCAATGGGATTAGTAATTTTATTTTTAAAATAAGGTCAAAGGAAATATGGACAAAACTCTGCTCTTTTCAAATTCACCATCATGCAATTTTCATATTAGTGTACTTATTAAATAACTATTTTCTTTTTAGCTATAGAAATAATTGAATTTAGTTGCATTTCAATCCAAGACTGAAAAACCTGAGTCCTCAGGTCAGGTAAAGCAAAAGAAGGGGAATGTTTAGAGCTCCATCTCATTTGTTCTTTATTTTCTCTAGATGCAGCTGTTACAGCATGGACTGATAATACACGAGAACAAAATGGCAAGAGGTGAGGAATTATTATGTTGTAGGAGCTCATGTGTTTGATTCAAGAAATCAAAACTTCCTGAGAGATTAATTGACCTAAGAGTATTACTCCTAGGTAGAGTAATACAGGAATTTTGGATGTTATAAACGAGCATAAGGTATAGAAATATAGTTCACTGATTTGATACTAAAGTAAGATTTCAATTCTCTCATCCTATGTAGACTGTTTTTCTTATTTCAAGAAATTCACTAATTCAGCACACTTAACTCTAGGGAACCACTCAATAGAACAAATATAGGTATCTTTTTTTTTGGTATTTACAGTGCTATCTTAAACATTCACAGAGGTCTGAAAGACAAGACAGGACAGAGAGGGGCCTCTTAAGACCAGAGAAATTATTCAGAACAATAGCAGACTTCCTCATGCTTAGAGATTAAACACCTACTTCAAGCTGGTCATCTAGGGTTTGCTTCAGTTTTCCACTTTCCCACACACTCAGTGCCAGCAGAGAAGCTTTGCAATCCCTCTTCATGCAAAGTCATTACTCAGATGATTGGAAGACATTGTATCTGCAACCAGAAACACAGAATCACAGAAGCATTAAGGTTGGAAGGGCCATCTGGAGGTCATCCAGTCCAAAGGATCACCTAGAGCAGGTTACACAGGAATGTGTCCAGGTGGGTTTTAGGGGTCTTCAGGGAGGGAAATTCCATGAGCTCCTTGGGCAGACTGTTCCAGTGCTCTGCTATCCTCAACATAAAGTTCTTTCTTCTGTTAAGGTGAAAGTTGCTGTGGTTTTGTTTATGTCCATTGTGCCTCATCCTGTCACTGGGAACAAAGGAGAAGAGACTTGGCACCACCCTGCTGGCACCCACCTTTGAGATATTTATATGTACTGACAACAAGCCCTCTCAGTCTTCTCTTCTCCAGATTAAACAGGCCCAGCTCCCTCAGCCTTTCCTCACAGGAGAGATACTCCAAAACCCTGTGGCCTCTGCTGGACCCTCTCCAGTAGTTCCTTGTGTTTCATGTTCTGAGGAGCCCAGAACTGGACATTCCAGATGTGGCCTCAGCAGGACTGAGTAGAAGGACAGGACCAACTCCTCTGACCTGCTGGCAATGCATCCTAGGGTACCACAGTCTTTCCTCATCACAAGGGCATACTCCTGGCTTGTGGTCAAATTGTCATCTGCCGAGACTCCCAGGTCCTGCTCAGCAGAACTGAGAAGAATTCTACCCAGCAGCCTTTACCAGAGGTCTGAACCACTGTCCAGCAGTGCTTCTCAGTGTCCCTGGCCATGCAGGCAACCTAAACTGCAAACTGGAACTAATTGCTTAATTTGCCATGTGAATAAAAGTGTATAAAATGAATGACATAATCCTTTTCCTTTCTTTGTGTTTCTGTTGGCTATCTTACCTCACTGAGTAAAATCTTAGAGCTGTGCACTGATGAGTAGAGCATAAATACTTGTGTGGGGCTGTGCTCCTAAGTGAGAATGGGTGATAGATGCCAAATCAAAATTTCTTCAAAAAAAAAAGAGGAACACTTAGCTGTATGGATTTATGAGGTTTAGTGCTGAGGAGGACTGTCTAAGCTAACAATAAAAAAGAGGAAATTTTTTGTTCTGTTACCATTTGTCACTTTTAGATTTTTGCTTGGTACTTGGCTCAGAGGATCACTTAAATAATATAAATATGTGAAGTATTCACATTTCTCAAAGAAACTGAGATACTTTTATGGGAAAGGGATATTTGACTATAACTCTTGGTTATGCAAATAATGGTACAGTTGTATTTGCAGTGCAAATATGTATTCTGTGTCTCTCTTTAAAAAATTTGACTAACTCATTGCAACACATCTATTAAGTGAACCCCAAAGGTTAAGACAATAGCACTTGTTTTTATTTGAGATCGCAGTCTCCCTTCTCTTAAGGCTATATGTGTAAATAGAAGAAAAACAGTCTAACTTTCAATTAGCATAAGTACATTTATATTTTATAACAGTGATGGTGGTAGAAAACATGAATACTGCTGATACTGAAACAATAAATAAGTCAGAGGTGTGAACTAACATATATCAAGGGAAAACAGGCTGGAAGAATAAAATACCTGTACAGATGTTGAGGACTACTACATCTGACAATTTTATTATCTGGTGAGGATGACATCTCCTCTGTGATGATCAGTAGCAGAAAACTGCTAGACACAAACAGTACAAGTTGAACTAAATATTTTGTAACAATAAAAGTTAGTGAAAACAAAGTGCATGCCTAGCATGAAATGCAGACTTCATCAGCTACACAGCAACTTTGATCCGCTTTGCAAAGGAGGATGTCATGATTAGATTTTCATGGATATTAGGTGGGTTTAATCTCCTGCAATATTGAACATTTACAGTGCAGGTAGCTACATCTGAGCCTGCGATCAATGATTTTATTAGTAGTCCCAGGGACTACTGAGCTATTCCAAAGAGTGAATGCATACAGTGTGCATGTCAAGTGTGTGTTGTATAGATTTGTTGCCAATGTGATTCCCTAATTGCTACATCATAAGCATAACTCTTAAGCTCTAGGTCATATTGTAATAAGTAAGACATTGAGTGTACAGTGCTGTAAGTAATGGAATTAATTTTGTGTTTGCAATGTTCATTTTTTTTCTTCAATTTTTCTTATAATTTTTCTATTCTGCTTCTTTCTTCCAGAAAAAGGATCCCACACATAATCACATACACATGTTCATGTATTTATTTGACTAATTCAGAGAGATAATTTCTGTATCTTAATGTGAAACAATATTTTGATTCTCTATTATAAAAATATGCATTATTTAAAGAAATTCCTCTAAAACTGAATGCTTGGAGCTTCACCAGGAATTACTCATCAGCACATTACTGCAGCTTGAAAAGGACACGGATGGTATGGTTAGTAGCAGCCACATAATTTGTGATGAAAAATAGCAGAAAAATAAAAATAATTCTTCTTAACTCTTTCAGTGGGAGCTATTTCCTAATGTTTCCATTAATTCTAATATTTCTTTTTGCTTTCTCCCTCAATCTCTCTTCTCAGTCAAGCATCTCTTGTATTACAGTGGAGATGGATAAACACTGGGGTACAACAGCAGAGAAGGTGAATAATGGCTCACCAGCACACCAGTACCCCTGCACCAGCTGGTCCAGACATACTTTTTAAAATGGGATGTAGAAGATAGGCATTTGCTGAGGTGCAGATATTCTCAGAACCTGCACATAAAATAAAAATGTTGTCATACCTTCTGATTGTTCTATGTGTAAAGATTGAGTAATCATTGTGATGTAACATACAGAAATATTCATCCTCTAAGACAACTGGAATTTACCCAATAGCCCAAATTTAAAACTTTTTTAGTTGTTTGGGAGATAGCTTCGGTTTAATTTTTTTCCTCCTGTGAGGGAGTTAACTTTTTTCATGCAGCCATACAAGTGAGTTAGATTTAATCAGTGGAAATGTTGCAAAATTAAGAACAAAATTAATGGGGCAGTGAGAGGAACTAATAAAATTTATGAGATTGAAGACACACTGAAAGATCTTTCTTGGAGTACCTAATGAAGCGAAGATAGGACAATCTACAAATCCCATAAATAAAACTCTATAATGGAGCAGAAAAGAGAAATTCTGCTAAGCAAGAAGCTGTTAAAAAGGAAGGTAGACAAAAGGTACTGGTAAAAATTTGGGTATGGATGGGAAATCTAAAGGAAATATTTTTACCTTTTATTTTTGTCAACAAAAAAAAAAAATCAGTATTTTTATTATGTCAGTACAAAAAAAAAAAGGATAGCAAATATTAAACTCCATGAAAAATTAATGCAGTGTAATTATATTTTAGAATACTTAAAGACAAAGCTCAAAATCCTACATAGATTGAAACTGTGGTGACCCATAGTAAAAGTCTGAAAAGGCCCAAAGATGCAAGAAAGGCAAACATGAAGATGTGTTAAGGAAAGATAAATGAAAGAATAAGGAGTAATACCTGCACTGCCTCATCCAGTAGTCTATTCTGCATCTTTAAAAATTCTAAAAATTCTAGAATGAATGAAAGCCAAGAATTAGTAATTGAGGAGGAAAAAGTAAAAAAGACCCTATAATCTCTAACTACCAATGTAGGCTACTGAATTGTTGCTTTTGACAAAGATGAAGAAAAATAAGAGAAACTCACCAATATTTCTGCCAAAAATATATTATCTTTTAAATTTGGAAATAGAAGAATTTGTTTCTAAGGTTGTAAATATGGTGGCTTTTATGTAAAGAAAAATTAAAAATACATATATTTACAAAGTGGCTTTTAGATTCACTTTGAGATTAGGCTAAATAACCCAAAGGAATATCTCAGGAACTCAGTGGATGCTCCAGCATTATATGCAGAAAGATCTGTAAAAAATCATTCTTGTAGTGCATCATAGGCTCTGTACATTTTATATGTATTTTTCCTATTTCACACAGCTCTGGGTAGTGTTAAGTTGTGGGTCTAGTTTTCTTTAAGATAAGAAAACCAGTTCCCTACTATACAGGGATAGTGCCACAAAATGTCAGTGGCCTAGCCTCCAGCATTATATTTTTCTTCCAGTGATACATGCATTTGTAAATGATGTAATACTTAATTTCTGATTTAAGATACAAAAAAGAGAAGCTTGACACTACTTATTTTTCTCTTTTTAAAACAGTCTATCTGGAGAAAGATAAATATGATGTCCATTTTCTTAACAGCATTTATAATCATGATTTTAATGCCTGTAGGTCTCAAGATGTGTAACAATATATAACTAAAAGTACAAGGCAAATGATGACATGACTCATTGAATTTCAGAACCTTTAAAAAAATGTAGGGAAAACCCCAACCACCACTATGAAATTATATAAACTATTCAGTGAAGAAAATTTTTATCTTTTTATCATTACCAATTGACAAGACCTTTAGGGGCCTTAAAGACCATCTACTTCCAACCCCCTGCAATGGACAGGACACCTTCTATAAGACCAGACTGGTCAAAGCCTTCATCCAACCAAGTCTTGAGCACTTCCAGGAATGGGTTATCCATAACTTCCCTGGGCAACCTGTTCTAGCACCTTACCACCCTGACCATAAAGATTTTTTTTCCTAAAATCTAGTCTGAGCCTACTCTCTTTCAGTTTGAAGCCATTTACCCTTGTCCTATCGCTACATGCTCTTATAAAATGTTTCTCTCCATTTTTCTTGTAGGTCCCTTTAGACTCTGGAAGGTGCTATTAGATCTCACTGGAGCCTTTTGTTCCCCTGTCTGTACAACCCCAACCATGTCAGTCTGTCTTCACAGGAGAGGTGCATCCACACTCTAAGCTCTGGACTCACTCTGACATGTCCATGTCCTTCTCATGCTGGGGGCTCCAGAGCTGGATGCAAGACTCCAGGTGGGGTTTCACCAGAGCAAAGGAGCAGAATCACCTCCCTCAGTCTGCTGGTCACAGTGCTTTGGATGCAGCCCAGGAGACGGTTGGTTTTCTGGGCTGTAAATGCACATTGCTGGGTTGTGTTGAGCTTCTTGTGAACCAACACCTAC